TACAGCCGGGCTGGGGCAGGAGGGCCCCGTACAGAGCATACAGCCGGGCTGGGGCAGGAGGAATGCTTCGTGTTTATTGCTACGGTGCTGAAGCAAAGCGGGTTTTGCTTCTAATAATTGCCAACAAGCAATTCATTTCATTGACAGTTAAAGCCTGCACAATAGTTTAAAATATTTAAATTATTACTGTTCTACAGAGCCGGAAGGTTTGGATGTGTGACACCAACCACACGTGGTATTGATGCTGGGCAAATGCCTCTTCCCTCGATTACTTTTAGCGGATTACTTAATTTTTTGCTACATAAGTACAAATAAAGCTACAACTGCTGTTCTTCCCAAAGTATTTGAAATTAGGTGCTAATTTAGCAAGTATAAGGTTTCCTGCTTGAAATGTATACATAGTTCAGACAAAGATGCGAAGTGACGCAGATCTATTGTTTATACTTCAACAACATAATAATGTCAACGTTTTTAAAAATACAGCTGAATATTAACTGTTATCACAGAAGCAGAGAAAATAGATCCTCCCTTACTGCTCACTTACAAGGTTTCTTCTTTAGAAAGACAAAGCTCCTAAAATCTGTTTTGAAGGGTCATGTAAGCCATAAATGCTGTGGACCGTATTTCTATGTCTTAAATGGATTTTTAAAACAAAACAGTCACAGTGAGTTAATAGTCACAGAAAAAAATTATCTAGACTTCATTTAAACAGTGAATATATTTGGAAAGATGGGGTCAGCGATTGGTTATGCAGCAGACGCAGCCTACCAGAAAGCACATGAAACTCAAACTGATTTTCAAACGCAGAAGTTCATGAAAAGTCCTTTCAGGCTCTCAAAATCCTGCACTACCATCTCCAGTGAATAAGATTTCTGTCCATTTTTCCAGCGACCTTCACAGCTGTAAATTCTGGAGTTCCTGACAAGCTCTACCTATGAAGAATCAGTGCCCAGCTTTTTATTGCTGTTAAATACACCAACAGGATACTCAACCATACAAAAATCCAGACTCAGCTATGAACTTTGGCTGCTATTTTAAACTTTGGTGTTATTTTAGAACAAATAAAACTATTCTGAATATTAAATTGTAATTTGGAAACGGCTTTATGCTTTGTGCTAAGTCAGTACCTGATGCAAATGGTATTTCTGTAAGGGAAGGTCTTCCCTCAGGTGCCGTATTAAGGACAGCAACACAAATACTCTCTCTGAGCCAATAGCAATCACTTAAACAAAATCAGGATTTCATGCAACAGCTCTGTATCTTTGCCGTCTACTGGAAGCATGCCAAACAGCACATGTGAAATTCTTTGGGGGCAAGAATGATCCCTTTGAAAGCAAGATTTGACCCCTCAATTTTATTATGGTGAACCTGCAGCTACTTGTGACCTGATGCCTGCATTGCAATCATTCAAGTTTTAAAATTAGTAGCACAGACTTAGAAGCACAGATTACTAGTTTATGAAGTCTGCAACGCTATAAAATTAGTAGCATAGACTACCAGAGTGAGAAACAGACACTTCCCTGTGGCGAATTATTCCATTATTGCCTCATAAGCCACCTTCTGCAACATTTGACCCCAGCCCTGATCCACAGACCACGCTTCTGCTCCAGGCTAGCAATTTCTTTACTCCCCCACCAGCTTCTCAAAGGCAGCTCCAAGCCTTTTTTTATCCAAGGGGGATGGAGAAATACATTCTGTAAAGGACTTTACACAGACAAACAAGATAAAGTGGGCCAGTCACTCTTCCATTTGTAAAGGAGAGAGTTCTGCATACAACACATCACATGTCTAGAAAGAAATCAGCAGGGAAAAGAAAAGAGTTGCAGAGTGCACCACACTGCTGACAGGGGTGTTAAACTTCCAGCTGCTTGCCCATCTTGCTGAGGGCGTCGCTGACAACGTCCAGCTCATGACGTAGCTCATTCACCACGCTGGCAATGCTCTTCGTGTCTTTCAGGATCTGCATGCTTTGAGTATATGGATTGTACTTCACGCCAAACGGGCGCTTGATGGTTTTTGCAAACTCTCTATTCAAGTAAAAAAAAAAAGGGAGTTATAAACAAAACACAAACACATCCTCTGCATGCAGTCAGTATCAACAGCCACTTTTCTGAACTACTTACTTTCTTTAAAATAGTTGTAATTGTTCTATCATTCAGCATCTTTCCCACCCAGTACATGGAAGACCAAGCAAATGCTAATCCCAGCTTTCCAACCCCATGAAAGATAATTATAAAACTGTGATAAGAACAAAAGGGTTTGGTGCTGCTACCGAGAGATGAATGAAATCAAACCTGCTTTTTTAAAACAGGGAACAAAAACTGTACCTCATCTTTTCCTTTGCTTCTTCAAAACTTTCAGAAACAAAATAAACCTCTTGGAAAGTTGTAATGAGGCATTCTTGCTTGCAGGTGACCTTTGGATCAAAAGGCTTGACTTTGGCACTGCCAGAGAGCGAGTGCTGGTCACATAATGTGTTATCATGTGTCAGAGGAACACACCACGCAAATAATCCACAAGGAAGATGACATGAGGTAGAGTGAATAAAAAAAGATGAGAGACCATATTTAGTGCATTGCATCTTAACATTTTTATCTGCAGATCGAACAGCAGTTAAAGCTTAACAAACCGAATAACTCTGGACAGTGATACTCTGCCAACCTGGGTCAAAAAAGGGATTCCTCAGACACAAGGCTGTGTAAACAAGAGCAATATTTTCAGAATCTGGTTAAACCAGCAGAGCATTATTCTGAAAATAGTTACTCAGAACCTAACATTAAAAAATACCCATCATCTAATGCTTTCTGTGAAGGATATGGGAGCTGCTCAGCATAAATCCACAAGCAGACTGTCCAGTGATTACTGCCACAGTGAAGCTGCTTAAAATGTAGTAGGTATCTAGGAGCTTTCAAAAGAAGGACTTTTAGAATTATACTTCATAAAAAACAGGGCAAAACAGTGACAATAATAATCAGGTGCAAACAAAGAAAACAGGTAAATAGGCAGTAGATATTCTTACCTTGAGCTCACTAATTGAAGAGAGCAAGCCAGCCCCGTAAACTCGTAGCTGCCCCTCTTGCTTGCACAAGCCAAATTCCACAGTGAAGAAGTAGCACTGAAACAGAGAAGGGAGTAAAATAATTCAGCCTTCAGCAAAGATGCTGTGGTGAACTAGATGGGGGCATTTCTGTTTGCAGGTAGTGTCAAGCAGTTACAAATACCAGACAGTCATCACTTGGTTATTCTTCTCAGATATTTAAAGAGGAGGGAACCCCGAATGGAAGTGTGAGGCACCACAGGATTGCATGTTTCTCATAAGAAAGATTGATAGTATAGATCACCCAAACAGGCTAGAAGCTATTAATGCCAACAGGGACATGGAGACATAAATCTGTTTTGAGAAATATTGTCACAACAGCTTCAGCTTAAAAGAAACACTGGATAGGTATCTGTGAGTGAAAACATCAGCCTGCTACATTTTGTTCCTCATTTGCTTAGAGGTCTGTAAAAAACAAAGATGTTTAGTTTGCTGGATTTCAGGATTTCTGTAGGTACATGGGGAGGAATGCTATTTTTTTCACAGATGGCTTCATTCTGCTCCCACTAAAGGCAGCAGAAATTTTACCACTAGCTACACCAGGTGGGGGGAAGAAAATTAAAACATCAGCAAACCAGTTTTTTCATAACTGGCATCAATTATTTCTCATATAAATTTAATTTTCATCTTTAAATATTTTTGCAAAACCATCCAAAAACTGCTATCCAGGAAATAAGATTAATTATTTTATTTGAACTTCTTGGCTGAAAAGTATCTAATGCTAGTGCTCACCACATTCAATAAAAACACCATATCATTTCAATTCATTCTGCACATTAAAGAAATAGATTACTTTTTAAATCATTTAATCATGTTCCCAGAAGTAATTTTTTTTTTTTTTTTTAAGAAACGGACCCTAGAATTTCAATGTGGAAGAAGTGATCTACCACCAGAAGTTGCACCCTTTCTTGATAGGTAAGTGAAGAAAAACACCAGTCATATCAACCTTAAAATGTTTGGGGTTTGGTTTTTTTTTTTTTTTTCCTAGCACAGAAAATTGTTATATGGTCTAAAAGCCAAGCACCAGGGAAACTCATAGGTCTAGCAGCTGGTGTGACTAATGTTGATATGAAGCTCCAAATTTATTCAATGGAGTGGGATCAGCTTAGTAAAGCACAAGCTTTCAATGGGATCACCAGGCACTGAAACACTCACTGTTGCCAGTTTTTGGACAGCCTCATCTGATGCCCCAAGTGATGCAAGACCAATTTCCTGGGAGAACTGAGCAAAACTGGGTTCAGCCAAAAGCGGGACATGACCTAGGAGCTCATGGCAGGTATCCCTGGAAAAAGAAACAAAACAAGAAATCTTGTGATCTGTCTTTGTGGTAGAGTGAAAAAGCAGCACCACTGAACAGATATAATGTCTTGCATTAAACTGTTTGATATCAAAAGACAGAAAAGTGTCAATCACGTTTAGCTGAAAGCAATTAAGCAGGTCATACCAGCTCTACCTAAGTATGTAAACTCAGATTTTCAAGTTAAGCTGTCTAAAATTAAGATCTGAGGTCCACATTTGTAAGGCAATAGAATATTAAACTAACTCTGTGCACAATGACATCACTAAGAGCTCTCCAATAACACGCTGTACTTTTGAAAATCCTGAACTTATGAAGGTGGCACTTGCTCATGCTAAAACTTCATTACATTCAGCATGAAGGCTGAGTTTTCAGCACATTAAAAAAAAAGTTTTCTTGCTGGTGTTCTTGAACAGCTTTTAAGTAGCTTGGCTCTGGGCAGCAAGATTCAAAACTCTCTCTCTCAAATTCTACCCCAAGATTAAATGACTCACGGCTCTGGTGTATAGAGAGGGTCCGAGCTGTGTCTAACATATTGAGTGCAGTGAAAAACTCTGAATGCTAATCCTGCCAAGAAGTCTCTGGGTGATAGATATCCAGCAACGGGGCGAATGGTGAAACCTGTGCGCTCTGAAAAGGAACGGAAGGAGAAACTGTACGTTAGTTTAGTGCATAATTGCACAGTGTTGTCACCTTTCCTGCTACAGCTGGGGTAAAAGCCACAGCACTACTTTGGCTCAAAAGCATGTGGGAAAATTAGGCACAATTAGAAATTAGGCCCAAGTTTGAGAATGACCAACATTTAGTAAAAATGTCCCTACCTGTGTATAGGCGGATTTCCTACAATTTCATGCCTAGAGCCAACGCAATACAGCTAGGTATCTCTTTAGCCAGTCCTAATAGTCTCTTCAGAGGTAGCCTTGCCCCTCAAATGTCACTGTTTGTATATATTCAGGGCACAATACATAAAAACACTTAATGGCCAAAAAGGTCCTTAAAGGACCAGAATGAATACAAGCAAAAGTGACCAAGGACAGGTTTTTTGTGCCCCTATAATAGCAGCATGATTTGCAATGGACCTTAGTTCCTTTTTGAGTAAGAAAATTAGTACGTTACCTTTCAGGAAGCGGGACACATCTTCCAGCTGGGGGATATTGTCTTCCCTGTACCCACAGTATTTGGTGAGCAAGGGTAGGTTTTTAAGGTACTCTCTGCAGGCATGGGTTGGGTAAAGCTTGTTAAGCTCTCGATACACAGTCCCCCAGGTCTTGATCTCCTCCTCAGTGAATTCAATCTTGGGAATTGGGTCACCACTACCAGGGGAAGAGGAAGAAAGGACATTCCTTGGTAAATGGCTAATAATGTATGACTCATTTACTTACTATTATTATTTCACATTTATATGGCTGTGACACCTGGTCACGGTTAAGACCCTGTTGCATTAGGCACTGTCAAATGCACAGTGAGATGGGGTCTATGCTCTAGAGCGCCTTCAGTGGAAGGGCTTACTCTCTTTTCCACCTAAATCCACTAACAGGATCTTTCCATTGACCTCAGTGGAGCCTGAAAGCTTTGGTCCTGTAAACAGTTGCTTAGGTATTTAATGCTGAGAGTAACATTTAAAATACCTTTCCCAGGGCAATCTCTGTTAGCAGCACATGAACAGTAACCAGCTCTGGGCTGTGGTAACCAGAGTGCAACAGAGCTCTGGATACCCACCATTTCTAGGTCGTTTCCATTTCAGGAACTTGGCATCTAAATTCAAGCAGGCAATGAAAATCATGTTTAGAAAGAATTTACAGCACTGGGCTATGAGACTCTTACTGCTTTAAGAGCTCCCACCCCCAACCAACATCTCTACAGACAGCAGCTCCGCAAGTTTCTTTTCACAGAAAACTTCTTATCTATGCATCACATGCACTAGTTTGAACCAGGAAAGAACACTCCAGTATTAACATTTGCCCAGAGAGTTTACAGTCAGTGGTCAATGGACTATATACTGGGTTTTGCCTCCCCTCCCTCTCCTTCGCAAAGGAGACCAATATGTGCCCTAGACAAGTCAGTACGTCCGGGCACAGGCAGCTGTGCAACATGCATTGTCCACCCTCTGCTTTTGTTGCCCCCATTTCCAGAGAAGCGGGGAGGGACTGCAGAGCCTAACGCGCTACACTGCAGGAAGCCCAGGCTGGCATCGCTGCCCAGCTGAGGATCAGCACTGCCACAGATGCCATAATGGCTGAGCAACCACGAGCTGATCCTCAGACCGATCAGAGCCCCAGGGAGCTGTAAGATGGCATTTTCAACCTGTCTTTCATCTCCCTTCATTTTACCCCTTCAGCTCTGATTCCTAATCCATACATGTCTCAGTGAGATCTGAGCCCAGGGAACAGGAGCTCCTGCCAGCCCACTCTGCCAGTATTTCAAAGCACCCAGAAAGCTTATTTTGGAAGAAGTCGAGCTTACTGTTTGTAGTTCATAGCCAGATCTGCAAAATACTTTCTCCTCTTGCGATAGACATTGTCTTTGAAACCCTGGGACAGGGGAAAGGGGAAAAACAAAGTTTAATTAGTTTCTGAACTGTAGTAAATAAATTAATTTTTTAAAAGACACTTGAAATTTCTTCAGTTGGGAAATATAAAAGTATGCTGTGTAAGAATGAGAGGACAGGGCAGGAACCTCATAGCTGTAGTCTGAAATGTTTAATAACTGAACTAAGCAAATACTCCAAATTAAGGATCAGTGGTTTTATGCATGCAGCTCTATATTCAGTAGAAAAGGATTCATTTTAGTCATATCAGTATTTATACAAACTTTGTTACTTGCTTGATTACTCTAAATTCCAGGACAAATTGCCCATTTGCACTGCCCAAGTACCAATTCATTTGTTCCATTTATAGTAGGGAAGAAGGAAAGAGGAGGAAACAAGCCTGCCTCACAACAGCTTTTTTTTTTTTTTTTAATTTGTGTGCAACCACTCAGGGCCCAGACCTGGAGTCCTTGCATGAGTAAGCCTTGCACAAAGGTACAGGATCGGAATTCAGTGACAACCTTGCCTGAACTAAGGAAAAGACATTAAATCCTAAGAGAAGGTGCTTGGACCCACAGAGGTGCTATTAAGGGGGAGGAGAAGGAGGAGGAAAAGCTGCAATTTTTTTAAAAGTAAGCTCCAGAAAGCACGTTTTCACTAAGGATTGAGCATAGGGGGGGGAAAGATACTTACTGGATGGTCAGCATCCAAATTGGACCCGTACATCAGCACTCGGTTTGCACACTTATCCAAATCTGAGATCTTCTTCGGAAACCAGGGAACATTCTCCATGTCTAGGGAACGCATGGAATCCTCACAGTTATTAATAATGCCGAGCACACTGAGGGAGGAAACGCTACTTTCAAGTATGGCTATAGCGGTTAGAAGTGAAATCTATAAATTAAGAGAGTCATGAATACGACAAGGGAGTCCACTGCCTATCTGGCACCAGCCTACAGCTCACACTTCCTCCTCTGTCACTGACACAGTCTGCCTACAGAGAACAGCCAGCTCCAAAGTGTCCAGGGGAGGAAACAGTTAACATGGGTTTTCTGAGGCCCTTAACTCTTATTGCTCTTAATGTCAGAGCAGTATCTAGAGGATCCAGCTGAGACAAGGCCTCCTTGTGCACACTGCTGCAAACTTTCCAGGGTACCAAGTGTGCAAAGCAGCCAAGGAGTGATTTGCCTGTGGTCCCTGGGCAGAGCAAGAGCAGGTTGGAGCCCTCCCATCCTGCTTTACTGACCATGGGAAATAAACATTGCTCTGTGGTTAGATACCTCAGAAGCATCCAGCTTTGCTGAGGGGTTTGTGGGGGAAGAGGAGGAATTTCATCCCTGCAGCCTTAGAGAGATGCATCATTAATTTTGCTATAAACTTATTTTTTTTGTAACCCACGAGAGTTTATAACCAAGCTCTTGGCAGAGTGGTTAATACCCTGTTTTTCCACCCCAATGCTTTTCAGTTTTCTTGAAAAGGACAGGGGGAGTGTTTCGATTGAAATTCCCCTTACTTGGGGCTCAAGTAAGCCAGTTTTATCCAAGAGATGCCAGATCTCACCTTCCCCTACCTACCAGCCTGTGCCAAGCACAGTGGCTGAGAAATACACAGGACCAACTTCCTGCTGCCCTGAATTTCACGCATCTCCGTAGAAGCAAAGGCAAACAGGATATGAAGCATCCTAAAGTTAAAAGGCACCTCCTTCACACTAATGTAAGTGACCAGTTATGAAAAAATGTGGTAAAAAAAAAAAATTAAATCAAGAGCTACATGAGGAAATTGCAGAATTCACCTCCCACTCTCACCTGTGTCTGACCTGAACTGGGATCTGTCAGTACCATACTGCTGTCATCGTGGTGCAGAGCCCCAGCCAAGCCCTGCATTCAGGCTTTGCCCACATGTTGCCCTGCGCAGGTGCAGGGACTCCCATTCACACCAGTTGTGCTGTGCTGAGAAGGGACGGGAGCACAGAGAACAGGCATTCAATTTGCACCAGCCCAAAGCAGCCCGTACTCCTGGGGGACACTAGCCAACGCAGCCCTGCTCCTATCAACCAAACTACACTCGTTCACAACACAGAAGCACAAACCTGGTAACTCCTGACTGAAAACACTACACAAGTGCAGGTGTGGACACCACAGAAAGATTTCAAACCAACACACTGAGAAGCGCGTTTTCATCAGAAATGCCTTTTGTACTTACCATCTTCCTGGACATTGAAATGCTCTGTCGGGTTCACAGAGACAACGCTGACGTGGGAGTTCAGGAGCTGGAAGATCTCGTTCAGTTGTTCCCTGTTGCTGTCACAGTCCACAAAGATCTCAAACTCAGAATTTCGTCTCTTGGACTTCCGGGACTCAATGTGTACCAGATTTACATGCTTCTCCTGTTTTGTAAGAAGTAATGTTCTCAAACAGATTAACTCAAAACTCAAATTTGTTTTTCAAATGAATGTTCACCACTATTTTAGTTAATTGTTTATCTCTTGATAGCAGTTTGCTTATTGGGGGAAGGAAATGGTTTGATTTTAAAAAGCCTCCCATTGACAAGAAAATGAAAGACAACCTGTGTTCTTTCAATTTCATTACATTCAGGAAGCACAGAAAGACACAGTCAGGAGGCTTAAATTCATAGACCTTTTTCTTTCATCCCTCCCATAGGGAGCTGATTAGCAGCTGCCTCTGGGGAAATTCACCAAAATGCCCATCAAGTCAACATATAATTAACTCACAAGCAAGCCCAGGATTTAAAAGCAGTAGTTTTCAGGGTGTAAATTTCACTTTTCTTTTATTTGAAAAATTATTTAATCGTATGTCTTATATCGGGAACACAGAAAACACCCCAGGCAGGGCCAGATGACAGATCACAGTGGCACTGCGCATATTCCTTGAACAATACCTACCCAGCAATCGAAGGAGGGCGGTTGTGCAATTGCAGTTCCTCTGTCACCCTCAGTCTGGCCAGGCAGGGTGACAAAGGCGTTGGACTCAACCCAGTGTGGGTCAGCACCCCAGGCTGCCATCGGCAGGAGCTTCAGACCCACCTCTCAGTTGAATTTAGATGCCAAGTTCTCTCAGTAGAAACGACAAGTGCCAGTCCTCTTTTCATGAGGGAAAAAGACAAAACTCTGAGTCTTTAGTCGGCACAGACGATACATTTTGTGAAGATTTTTAGCCAGCCAGCATCTAATTTCTGAGGCACAAATTTGCCTTTGTGTATAATTTTGGATGCAAAGTGGGAGCCAGGTGAGGAACCACACCCTTAATAAATGGAAGCAATTAATTCTAGTGTGTTCCAAAACTATCTTTACAATTTAAAAATACAGAGCTGCTGTAACAGTGTGATTATTACATACCTGAAAGAGTTTTAATGCTTTTACAAGTCCTCCAACTTCATTCTTCAAGGAAAAAATGATGGCTGTTCTTCCTCTTTCAGATGCATGGTCTTCATTCTCTTTATTATCTTCAATCATCACATAATTTGATTTATTTAACTAAATGCAAACAAAAATATTTTTTTGAGTGGCTAGTAGTGCAAAAAGTGTAAAGTTTTACATTTCAGTTTGTCTTGGGGTAATATTGTGCTTTGGCTGATCAACCACAAAAGGAAAGGTGCCAATGAAATCATTACATAGTAACAGGCATGAAGTTAGACACATAGAGAATCTGCGACAGCTGAGGATGAACGACTGAGATTCCTTTTTTACATTTGAATGACTTTGTAGACATCTTTAGTCATTCTCTAGGATGCATAAAACGTTTTGAAAGTATAATTTATAATTAGCATTGGTATTTTGGGGAGGAAAGGAGCTATAAGATGTCAGCAGGAAATAAGTTGAAGAAAATACTTGTGAGTAAATTTGATGAACATTGGTAAAGGAAATAATCCAAACCCCGCTGGATACAGGTAGGAAAAGATGGATCTAGATTTAGTAAATCAGAATCAAAAATCATTACCTTTCTCTCCTTACATAACAGTAAACCACTGCTTTTACAGCGAAAAGAGACAAAACTTAAGGATTTAAAACATTGTGCTGACCAGAACCTGTTGGCTATAGAGACAGTCCCACTCTGACAAACCACAGCCAAGCTATGCCATCTGTCAGGTCCCCCTGCCAAACCCTTATCACAATCACCCAACTCACGCACTAAAAATTTTCAGACAACCAAAATGGTAGGACCACATGGTTTTGTGCATTACTAGTGATCACACTCCTGACTGTGCTGAAATCAGTGGATATCACAGACCATACTCTTAGCCACACATAGCCAGGCCATAAATAGAGATAATACAGGAACTACTAAGAATGCAGAAAAATGCAAAGTAAAGAAAAAAAAAAATACAAGGCTTAGAAGCAGTGGCTGTCTCATAAGTCTTCAAACCTTGCAAAAAGAAACAAAAAGATGAGGTTTCAGAAGGCGACAGTGAGAAAGAGGAAAGAAACTATGAAGGCACGTTATTGCTCTTTGGAATTATTTTTTGATTTGACAGAGTTTTTAAAGATATTACTATGTGCTGACAACTCATCAGGAATGGAAAGAGAAAATAAAAATGCAATCCAAATGCAGCAGTTCTATTGACTCCCTTCTCCAGTGTCTCCAATTTTAACCTCTTTAAAATATATAATGCCGTGCAGCTAAGTATTTCTATCTGTAACAGGTAAGTTTAAAGACAAAAAACTGATTTTACACATCTTTTATCAAAACATTCCCATTTATCCTTCCAATTAAGAAGACAACCTGCCTAACAAAACAACACAATTAGCTCATTTCAAATTGAGTGGTTTATAACAAGGCAGATATTTGATGCTGCTCTAAGAAAGGTTTCAAGCAGGTTACCAGCTGTGAGCTCTTCATGGTGCAGGGGTGGTATCCCGTGGAAGAGATCTGGCTCCAAGCCCACTGATGGTCACGGAAATATAGTCACTGGATTTCTGACTTGGTCCCCATCTCTAACGAGTTGTCACTATGTGATGTGCTGGATGACAGTGTCAGTCCCTCACACTGTTTGTGATCCAGCAAAGCCAGTGATCTCCATCAACTTGAGTCCAGACACTAAATTCTCTGCTGAAAGTGAGAGCCCAATACAGGCTCTGCTGAGCAGCCGGCAGGTTTCACAGCTCGCTTCAGCAAACGCCAGATCAGGACCACAAGAGCCAGGAACAGGCACTGAGCATGGGTACTCCAAGCAGAGAAGAAAAAACTAATAACCTTGCTATTACATATAGGTTATAGGTTGTTTTCTCAAGTGCCGAGAGAGCCATTTGTGTGAGCCAATTCCTACTCATATGACACTGTTGTAGAGGAAGCTGGCTGCAAATAATTCTCTGTTACAGACAGAGTTGGACAGTGGTCTTTGCAGACAAAACCTGGTGGGCGGTTTTATATATATGGCTTATACGCATGTTGGCTTGATTCCACATTCAGGATCATTGACTTAAGATCAGCTTATGAGATTTGGCACAGTTGTGTTCAATACTATAAGGTACACAGCTAGGACAAACTACATGCATTGAAGACTAATGTTCTTATTTTCTGTTTTGATAGTTCAACTAACATTGTGTTTAGGACCAGGTCACAACATTTGTAAAGTAGTATGTTTAAGAGACCGATGAAGAAAATACAGCGAAACACAGTGTGTTCATACATTAAGTTCTAAAAATTACTTGTAACTTACAAATGTGAATAAAGTTGCAGAAGAGAAATTCAGATGCCTACAATGCCAAACACACACCACTTACACCTTTAACCCTGCGCCAACATTAATCTTTGGCTTTCAATTAAAAAATGGACTGAAAAGAGGTCTGTACTCATGCAGCAACCATTTTGGTGCAAGACAACAAAAGAAAATGGTAATGCAAAAATAATACCTCTCCTTCAACATCTGCACCTTCACTTCCATTTTATTCTGTATCAGTAACTCAGCTCTAATCAACTCTCACACTTTTCCTTTGCGCGGTAGCACATTTCAGCCTTTTGGGGGTGGGGGGGCAATTAATATTGCATTGATGCTTATTATTAATAATGCAAATCATTAACTTATTTCCCATCAACCTGACTCAAGTCTTAATGAAAATACACAGACACAGGGATACTCTAGAACCCTTATTTAGATAGATATCTAGGTGCCTTCTGGCTAAAGACGGCTCCTTTTGGAGGCCATAGCAGTAAACTTCCCTTTCTCCTCCTCCCCAAAGAATATTCTCTGTGAGACAGATATTTGAAGGTGTATATTTTGTGCTTTAATTCTTTGTATTAATGGATAGTTAAGATTTAAAATTATCCAAACAGACTCATCTAAAGGAAATCACATTTTAGAGCCATAAATATAAGACCAAAAAATCTTTTAAAAAAATGTATTTGATACACATTGTCACTAATTGTACTTGATAAAAAGTCTCAACAGGCATTTTATATCCTCCTCCCTCTTTAAGTAGCTGCTTACTTTCTCCCTGTCCTTTTGACACTTCTTAGTAAGGAAGGATGAAGACTTGATCTTATGAGTCACCATGACTAGATGTCCCACTGCAGGGAAATTTTTCAGCCACACTAAACATCTACCTTAGATCTAGTTCTCAGACACCACTCCGAAAGCTGCGCCGGACAGTTTATTTGGCTTCTACAGCTACAAGGAATAAGGCACAACAATCTTTTGTGAAACTTTACCCCATTACAGCCAGCATTCTTGTTTTCACAATGAATTTTACCAACATTTTACAGTATCAATAACTGTGGCCACCATGTAAGCACTGATTTTATCTCCTCTTCTCTGATGCACTAAGCATGTTCCCCCTGTAACACGAGATAACCCAGCAGTGGATTATTCTGGGCTGTATCACACCCTCTGTCTTCTCATCAACGACGCACCAGAAGTTAATTTTCTTCTCCCCTAATTTCACCTGCTCAGATTTGAATTTTACCACTTTTTTCCTCCCCTTCTGCCCACAAACAGCAGCACGCACCAGCCCCATCCCAGCCCGGCGGCACTGGGCGCTCCCGAGGCCAGAGGAGCATCGCCGGGACATCTCGGCTCCTCGGCTAACCGCGGCACAAACTCCCCTTTCCCCCCCACACCACCGCTCCGAGCACCGCAACACCGAGGCGGCAGAGCCCTAACTTCAGAGAAACAGC